CTCAGACCTCCAGACAGCGCGCTCGAACACCTTGGTCAGGTTCATAGTAGCCTTGCGTCTTTCTAGTTCCAGAGATATCCTCTTAGTTGCAGATTCCCAACGTGGATCAGACTATGCCGGATTACCCCATGGGGTTGGTATCGGAAGCTACTGTGATCCTCGGCCGAGTTGAACATCCGTCATTTGGTCCAATCACTGCAGATGAATATGAGTGTCCCTAGAGTAAGCCGTCGTTTATAACTCGACCTAGAAGGGTGGAAGAAAAGAGGCCTCCCATTTCAATAGGCTACTGGTCAGGTCAACGCACCAATAGAAGTAGATACATCGGGGTCGCCGTATCTGTCTTGTATAGCTTGACCAATGGGCGCTAGCCCACTTGAACGTGCCGATGCAGAGGCGCAGTTGCTGCAAGCAAAGCTCAGCCTGACATGAGCGGGAAAGTCTGTAAACAGCATCGGTACATTAGTACCAGCGAGATACATGTATTGTTCGTCGTGGTCCTGTCGTCATCAGGAAGACTCGAGCCCTACCTGGTCTTCAGATCGCGCAGTGTTGCGAAACTCCCATTGCGAATATTTTCACCCCCTATAGCGTCTCGGGGGGTCGCTCTCTCAACAGCTTAACCAGATAGTTCATAGTCTGGCGTATGTGAGTATTCCATGAATCCTGGCTTTTGTCTGTTTTTGAACGCAGATTTGGCTCTGCAGCCATGAGCTGTTCAATCAACCAAGACGGATACTGAACACGCGACGTTGTGCCAGGAAGCAAGCCTAGTTTCATCGAGAGTTGCGCACTCTGTACAGTGATCGAGCCGTACGAGCAGTTCCTGGCGCATGGTCGATTGAGAAGACCATATTGCCCACATGCAGCGTATGCATGCAGGGGCGATATCGACGATGATTCTAGGTTATCCTTGGAGACACATAACAGCGCATCCGACTTTGGCGGCTACGTGCTGCCTTCCCCGATAGTAGAGCCGATGAGACAGACTGATGTGAACGACGCAGCATCAGGGGCGTAAGAGATTCGGTCCGGCCCCTGCAGTGTTAATCAGATGGGCCGGTTCTGCCTGCAGTGTACAGCATACTGTAATAGAAGCAAGGCTGACCCTTCACTCGTTGATTTACCTTTCGTAAATTCCATCATCGTAGTATGGAGGAATCAAAGGCCACCGGACTGGTGTACGGTACGACTGGTGGTGATCAGGGTGGGGTTGAAGATGGAGAAAGCGCGTTCACTAGCAACGGCAAGTGGGGGTACTCGGATGCCAAGCTTTCCATCGCGGGCCAATAGCGGAGTTACGACAAATCAACAATTTCTGAAGCAAGACCTGGTGACTGTTCAGCTGGGATGCAGGCACGGTATTATCAAGGTAGGTCATTACATTGTTCCATGTTGATCGTTACTCAACGCCCCCATCTAGATCCGTTTTGGCGCGCTGCTAAAGTACATTGAAGGTCAATCGAGAAGCGGAGAGCTGGGGTATGTCCAACACAATTATGTTACAAGGAAGACTTCGGGGTATCTGCCCCGGAAGACGCTCGCCTCTTCTTCGGGCCCATTGAGTTTGATTGAATTACTCAAGAACACGCGTTACCAGACCAGTAGCGACAGTTCGGCCACCCTCGCGCATGTTGAACCGTTGGCCAGTCTCTAGAACGTGGGGCTGGTGGAGTTCGCAGACCATCTCGACGTTGTCACCGGGCATAACCTGCTTGTCGTGGGCGTCCTCGGTGCCCTCCGGCCAGTGAAGCGCGCATGACTCGTCAGCGGTTCGGATGAACATTTGGGGCCTGTAGTTCTCGCCGAAGCCAGTGTGACGACCACCTTCCTCCTTGCTCAGGACGTACATGGAGACGAGGAACTTCTTGTGGGCCTTGACCTGTCCGGGTACGGAAACAACCATGCCGCGGCGAACATCATCACGCTTAACTCCACGGAGGAGAAGACCGGAGTTGTCACCTGCGCGCGACTCCTCGCACGACTTCTTGAAGGTCTCAATGTCGGTAACCTTGGTCTTGATGGGGGCAGTACCCTTTCCGACAAGCTCGACTTCGGCATCACGCTTCAGGATACCGCGCTCGACACGGCCAGAAACGACCGTACCACGACCGGCGATGGAGAAGACATCCTCAACAGCCATGAGGAAGGGCTTCTCGGTCTCACGCTGGGGGGTGGGGATCCATGCATCGACAGCCTCCAAAAGCTCATCGACCTTGGTGACACCAATCTCAGGCTGGCGGCCCTCGATGGCGCAGAGAGCGGAACCCATGATGATGGGCGTCTCGTCACCCTCAAAACCGTAGCTGCTGAGGAGCTCACGCATCTCCATCTCGACGAGCTCCAACATCTCCTTGTCATCGACAGCATCGACCTTGTTTACGAAGACAACGATCTTCTGGACACCGACCTGGCGGGCGAGGAGCAAGTGCTCACGGGTCTGGGGCATTTGACCGTCGGAGGCGGCGACGACAATGATAGCACCGTCCATGTTGGCAGCTCCCGTAATCATGTTCTTAATGTAATCGGCGTGACCGGGGCAGTCGACGTGGGCATAGTGGCGGTTGTCGGTCTGGTACTCGATGTGGGCGGTCGAGATGGTAATACCACGCTTTCGCTCTTCGGGGGCCTTGTCGATGGAACCGTATTCGAGGTACTTGGCGTAGCCCTTCTCTGCTTGTCGCTTGGTGATGGCGGCTGTGAGGGTAGTCTATAGCGTATCAGTCGTCATGGACGTGGGAGGCGGGGCGAGAGGCGTCGTACCTTTCCGTGGTCAACGTGGCCAATGGTACCTGATGTCGATTAGCATAGCCATGGGTATACTATTAGCGATGCATACCAATGTTGACGTGGGGCTTGTCTCGTGTGAAAGAGGCGTAGTTCCGGACGCCGTTCATCCACCTCATCGTGCCCTGCGCGCCCAAAGCATTTTGCACGGGCGACACATTGCGCTGGTACTGGAGGGCGGAGCGCGAGGTGCGCAGGAAAACTCTGGAAAAGCTCGACATGATTGACCCGATCACACGATGCAGAGAAGCGAGGGGATGCGATTGCTTGAGATGGCGGTGGTGTCTCGAGATGGCGAGGCTCAAATCATTTTCTTAGCGCGACATGGTAGCGCATCGGCCAATCATGTGAGGGGGAGATCCGAGCTCGACAACTTTGAGCAGGAGCGATGGAGCACTGCGGGCGGAGAACATTTCCCGGTGACGTTGTGTCATTCTCTATTCAGCGTTTCTTTGGAGGAGCTATTGTCTCTTTCATTACCTCCAAAGCCATCAATTGACGTTGGTGACGCTTACTACAATCGATACTCCTACGCGAATACCCGAGGTTCGTTCGGCGGAAACTGTGAAAGTTGCATCATTGGCGCGCATTTCACCTACATCACCATGTCTCTCCGCACATTAACAAGGACGCCGCTGAGCAGCGTCTCACGGATAAGCACGATAAATACCATGCCATTGCGCGCCAAGGTCACAAATCCCGCCTGGATGAGCGGGTCGAGAAAGGTATAGCACCCCTCCAGCCCACCACGCGTTCACACCTAACAATCGCGTAGTATGCCACACCCACCGCAGACCTCCTGAAAGCGCAGCAAGACGACGACCCCGACGATGTCATCTTTACCAACAACTACGGCGTCCGTAGTATCGAGCTCAACCGACCGAAGAAGCTGAACTCGCTCAATGGCTCCATGGCCCGCAAGATCATACCGAGGCTGCAGGAATGGGCAAAGTCAGAACTGGCAGGTGTCGTCATCATCAAGGGCAGCGGTCGCGCTTTCTGTGCTGGGGGAGACGTCGCAGCGCTGGCAAAGTGGAATAAGGAAGGGCCCCAGGGACAGCAAAACAGTTCAGACTACTTTGGGCTGGAATACAAGCTGGATCACCTCATCGCAACCTACTCGAAGCCATATGTCGCCTTCATGGACGGTATCACAATGGGTGGTGGTGTTGGACTTTCGATACACGCTCCCTTCCGAATCGCAACCGAGAACACCCTCTTCGCTATGCCCGAGACGACCATCGGCTTCTTCCCAGACGTCGGCGCGTCCTTCTTCCTGCCTCGCATGGAAGGCGCTCTCGGCACCTACCTCGCCCTGACATCCGAACAACTCAAGGGCGTCGACGCATTCTACCACGGCATCGCGACCCACTACATCCACTCCTCCACGCTCCAGCAACTCGAGGCGCGTCTTGCCGAACTACAATTCCCCGACTACATGAAGCTCGACGAGCGATTCAAGATCATCAACTCTACAATCGAGGAGTTCAGCACTGGACTACCCGCCGAGCGACCGCACATCTCCGGTGAACTTCGCAAGGTCATCGACACCGTCTTCCACGAGGACATGCCTAGCATTCAGAACATTTTGGCATCGCTTGAGGACGTCAAGAAAGGGCACAAAGATTCAGAGATTCAGACATGGGCAGACAAGACTATCCAGACCATCCACAGCCGGTCACCCACCTCCGTCGCCGTAGCCCTCCGTCAGATGCGCGTCGGCCGCCAATGGTCCATCGCGCAAACCTTCCAAAAGGAATATGACATCGCCTCTCGCTTCATGGCCCACCCCGATTTTGTGGAGGGCGTAACCGCACGCCTTGTAGAGCGCAAGAAGGAGCGACCAAACTGGAAGCCCAACACGCTCGATGACGTCAAGAACCGCGATGTTGATGCCTTCTTCCGGGATAGTAGCGAAGGTCCATTACCTCTGATTAGTGAGAAGGACTACCGAGAGTACCCGCACGCATGGATCGGACTACCTCGCGAATCAGAGATTCTGAGAGAAGCTGGTGGCAACAAGAGGGAGGATGTTGTTGCTAAGCTTTTGGAGAAGTACGAGGGCAAGCAGGGTGTCCGGGAAAAGATTGCGGAAGTACTAGAGAGGTACGCATAGTAGTTTGAATAGAAGTGATGATGCAGCACGCAGCTGCTCATCTCAATTGAAGACAAAGTCACTATTTGAACGTACAACACTCTTCTTCTGATACATGTTACGAAGAGGGAAAACCACCGTCTAGCGTAGCAGGACCCTATTTGATAAATTGTCAGCAAAAGCAAGGGATTCGCAAACACACGAAGCCCAAAACTTACCATCCGCACCAAATTACGATTAACAATCTTCCAGCTCCCATCTTTCTGCTTAGCCCACGTATCCTGATACTGACCCTTATCGATCAATACCTTACTGTTATCCACTGGATTCTGAACGCCAGTATATGGCGTGAAGTAGTGCGTAGCCTGAAAGTAAGTGACAGACACAGCGCTGCCAGGACCGCAGATGTAAATCATTTGCGTGCCAAGATGGTGCTGGGTAGATACGAAGGTACTCAGACCGGGTGCTAGATTGTCGATGATGGCCTGAACGCCGTTTAGTACCCCGATGGGGTCAGAGTAGTTGGCACGCGCGTAGGTGGTAAAGACTTTCCGAAGGATGTCGTAGTTACGGCCGTCGATTGCGAGGGCGTAGAGGGATAGGGTTTGACGGATGGATTCCGTTGCTATTGGGTCGGTGTGGGATTGGATGGTGAACAGGCCTGCTACATCGCTGAAGCTGACTGGCCCGGGAAATAGATCAGGGCAGCTGGTGGTCGCATTGCGGGCTATGACTGAAGTGCTGACATCATCTTGAGCGGAAACAAAAGGTAGGGCGAGCAAAGCCGCAATGCGTAATGAGAATGCGATGCGCATGTTCATGCAGGTACGAAGCAAGAATGTAATCGCGGGATGGGTGTAGTTTAGAAGAATGAGGGCGTGATTAGTAGTCAGAATCGAGTAGCCAATTGGAACCTTTGAGTTTGGAGCAAACATTCAATGGCTGTAGTTGATATGTAGATGTCGGTTCTCGGGAGGTTGGGGCGGGTGGCGGGCGGACAGTTTGACCAGCAGCCGAGCCGTTCCCGGGATATACGCTGTATGGATGTATGTAAGTAGATTCCGAGCTGTCCGTCAAGGCCAAAAGATTGAGCAAACAATGGCTGAGATGATTTGATTATGCTGTATTCCTGCGCTAACACAACTCGGTTCGCAAGGAAATGTCTTGACTGCGCTCAATCGCGAGTATCTCTTCCCGTCTAGATCAACAATGTCTAGGAAGCTGTGAGTAGCTCGTCTCGCTCTGCTTCATCGCAGTACCGTTGGGTCGTAACGGGTGCGGCTTTGGTCATTGATGTTGAATGTCAATGGTGTCGAATCTTTGGTCGATGGAGTGGACGGCAAGGTGGAAGCAACGTTCATGTGGGCCGCTCCTTGGCGGCATGATTGGCGGGGTACAACGACCAGGGCACCTTATACAAGGAAACCGCTGAACATGTCTGCAGCCTACGTTAAAACGGAGACATACAAAGCAGATAACTTAACATTGATGTAGTGTCCAGGGTGTCCAATGCTTCCCTGGTTGAGTGAGGCTATATTGCTCGTCCACAGCCAGAAACTACACAAACGATACACCCTTGTCCCAAGTACACTTGACTAGATGAATGTCAGTAAGCAGACGTGCTGCCGAGACATACTTGTAAGACCTAGCTACTACGGCGCATTAGCTTAAGTGCAATGCGGTTACTTTTACCGCACTTGACGATACACATTCCTTTTGACCAAACGCCCATCGCGTACCGCCAACGCTGGGCACACCCCAAGCTCGCAAGCAGTCGCATCGGCGGTACTTCCCCATCCGGCGACACTACGCGGCCCGCGGCTCGCATACAACGGCCAGCGTCCGTTACGCATCCGGAAAATGGGTGGTCATCGGCCCATGTCCGCATCTGGTGGCGTTATCCATGGCGCTCAACAGTTCAGCTGAAGAGGAAAAGCTTGGCTTGGACGTCGAGCTTGTGCATGCACTTTGTCGTACTGCTGCGATGGTGGAGAAGGTTGAGTAATCTAAAGGTTAGGGGGCTTGGGTTGTATATTGCTTGTGCCGTGATGATTTCGGTGATAACTGAGGCAAGGCTGAGATAAGATTGTTTGGTTGACAGTGGAGAGGCTGGAGCGAAGTGGGGCAGTCGCCGCGAGTCCGTGATGGGACGGTTGCGCAGGCACAATCGGCTGGGCTGATAAACAATGGTACGAAGACGAATTCTGCATTGCACAGAGTTTTGTGTCGAGTGTCCGCTCAAAGTCAATTACACAGTGTCAGTATGGACTCAAAGCATTCTGCATTAGACCTAGCATTACATCCTGCACATTCCGTAGATATGTGCATCATCCCATTATCATGCATTAGTGCATTAAACATCAGACATTGAAAAGTATACGCTATCTCCTCTTCCACATTACGCGACTAGAATAGTCCCAATCCGAGGCCCGCTGCTCCAATCAACATGCCCGCGATGTGACCAGTTGGAAGTGCAGCGCCTCCAAGGAACTCAGAAGTCGAGCTTGGGCTTGGCTCTGGGGCAGACGACGTGTCTTCCGAGGTAGTAGTAGAGCGCGTCGAGGTAAGGCTCGATGCGATGATCGACGAGGAAGGAGGGGCAGACGAGGGTGCTTCCAGTGAGGAAGAAGGCTCGGGAACGGTCGAGGGCTCCGGAACCACGGATGATTCAACAGGAGGAGCGGACGGCGATGGACCTTCAGACGCGGAGTCAGCAGGACTGCTTGATGGAGACGCGATACTTGTCGGCGGTGGTGCAGCGCTGGAAGGCGGAAGGACGGTGCTAGACGGCGCAGGTGCCGGACTACTTGGAGGTGGAGCCGGGCTCGAAGATGGAGGTGGAACTCGAGTACTGCTTGGCGGTGGTGGTGGAGGTGAAGCGCTGCTAGAAGGTGGCGGCGGAGGAGGTCGCGAGCTGCTAGGGGCTGGGATTGCACTAGAAGAAGGAGGTGGAGGGGGAGGCCTACTTAAGGTTGGTGGAGGAGGCGGCGGCGGCGAGCTTGAAGGAGCGGCAGTCGTTGTTGGTACTGCACTTGTTGAGGGTGCTTCCGAAGGTGGCAGAACGGCAGATTCTGCATCTGCAGTCGGCCTTCGAACTGTCACTGTACTCAGGCCGGCGGCTGTGGAGACATAGGTGTTAGTTCCAACTGAAGATTGTATGCCGTCCACTGTACTCCCACTGGCTGGATCACATGCGCTTGCACCAATGGACTGCCCAAGTTGAGCAATGACGGTCGGCTGGCTGTTGAGGAACTCGACTACCGTGGGCGCCACGAACGCTGTATTGGGGACGGAGTTGAGAGGTACAATGAGAGACGAATAGAGTGTAGGAGATGACAAGGCAAGGGTTTCTGTCTCAATCACACAAGCCGTTCCCAATGCCTCGACCTCCAGATGACTAAAAGTCTCATAGGCTAGGTACGTCGTAGGATATGTCAGTGGCACGCCCGAATAATCCCATGTGAATGTTGGCGGCGCTTGAGAAGGTAACGCGTTGATGAAGAGCGATGAGCTGACATCCCTATCTTGATCATCCGTATAGATCGTGAGAGTGGCTGTTGGTACCGGAACGATCTCGGTAACGATCACCCCAGGGTACTCTAATCTGGTCGCGGTGACGTCAATCTGGCATTCGCTAGAGCAGGAGATTGATGCAGGCGTGGTGGAAGATGGACTTGGTGTTAATGTTTCCACAATGGTCGTAGGCTGGATCTGGGTGGTGACGAAGGACTGAGTGATGAGAACAGTGGAAATGGATGTCGTTGCAGGCAAAGTCACGGTAGCTACCGAGGTGGAGCCAGGAAGAGAGATCGTGCTCAACACTGTCGATCCTGGTAATGTGACAGTCGACAGTACAGTACTTGTCGTAACGCTGCCCGGTAATTGGGTGACAATCGTGGAGGTGACCGCAGGTAGCGTTACCGTCGAAAAGACAGTACTCGCTGGTAGCTGACTAGTCACAACCGAGGTTTCTGCAGGAAGCTGAATGGTAGAAGTGACGACTTCTCCAGGTAGAGTGAATGTAGAAACTATTGTGCTCGCCGGAAGTTGGGACGTTATCACAGAAGTAGTGCCGGGGAGTTGAACGGTAGTAGTTGTAAGCTCGCCAGGTAGAGTGATGGTAGACAATACCGTGCTTGCGGGGAGCTGTGTTGTGACCGTCGACGAAACTCCGGGAAGCGTCAATGTAGTAGTAGTAATCTGGCCTGGTTGTGTGAAGGTCTCCACGGCGGTCTCTGGTGGCGATATGCTGACAGAAGTCACTGTGGCTTGCGGGAAAGTCAGAGTTGATACGATCGTTGAAACCACAGTGCTAGGCGGAATTTGAGTCGTGATTGTCGAAGTCTCGCCTTCCAAGGTCGTCGTAGTTGTGATGACCTGGGGTGGCAGAGTCAGAGTGCTAAGCTGCGTAGATACCTCTGTGACGGTCTCCTCAACTGTCTCTGTGGGGCCCGGGATGGTGACCGGAACAGTGGTCTCTATCGTCCTATCGGATGTCACGACAACAGTCTGTGGAATAGTCTGCGTGAACGTAGTCGTGATCAATATTTCGGAGAAGACAGTCTCCGTGGTAACGCTCGTAGTGCCAGACAGAGTTAGGGTTGATACAATGAACTCTGTTGACGTTGATGTTGACACTGATGTAGACACGCTCGTCGTCACAGACGTTGTGGTCACGCTGACCACTTCTGTTGTTGTTGTTGGCGTGAAGCTGATGATAGTCTCAATTGGACCAGGAACCGACACTGTCTCAACCGAAGTCTGGATGGGCCCAGGTACCGAGACAGTTTGCACTGAAGTCTGAGTGGGACCTGGAACAGAGACAGTTGGTCCGGGGACGGTCGTTGTCACAGAGATGAGGTCGGTAAGAGTAAGCGTTTCTGTTGTTGTTGAAACGACCGTCTCAGTCCTGACAGATGTAGTTCCAGGCACTGTGCAACAATCAGCATGTGTCTTGGACACTGCTTATGCAGATATGAAGATAAAGACGGGACACATGAGGACGTGGCAGACACTCATAGGATCAAGATTGGCAGATCGCATTGAGGGGATGAGTAACTTACATGTCTCAGTGATAGTTTCATAAATCGTGGTAGGATAGGTAGTAACCGAGATGTACGTCGATGTCGAGACGCTGACCGTCGTAGTAACTGAAACTTGGGTAGTGGTGTCGGTTTCTGTCGCCGTGGTTGTGGTGTAGCTGAGGTCGGTAGTTGGTACGAGGGTCACCACTGTCGAGATTATGGTCTTCGTTGTATATTCTGTGATTGTGTTGTTGACGGTTGTCGTAGGCCCAGTCACAGTATCATAATCAGTCTTTGTGATGGTAGAGTTATTGACATGAGTCACAGTAACGGGCGGCGGAACAGTACAGTACTCGGACGAAGTAACAGTTTCGTGCTCAGTCTTTTGTGGTCAGTAACATCCGGTAGCGACGAAAGGGTGATCATACCTCTGTAACAGTGACATTCTTTGTGTGTGTCACGGTCAGGGGAGGCGGGACGGTGCAATATTCGGAAGACGTTACAGTGACCGTTTTAGTTTCGGTCTCCGTTTCGGTCTTTGGAGGTGGCGGTCCAGGAGGTGGTGGTGGATGTGATGGAGGTGGCGGAGGTGGTGGTGGCTTGGATGGTGGTGGTGGTGGAGGAGGAGGCGCGGCGTATCCACTGGATGTGGTTGCTTCCTTCGTTGAGGTGGTTACTTCTGTTGGGTAAGCGGGATAGGTCTCTGTCGGATAGGTGTCTGTGGGATAATCATCTGTGGGATAGTCGTCTGTGGGATAGGCTTCTGTCGGATAGGCTTCTGTCGGATAGGCTTCTGTCGGATAGGCGTCTGTGGGTGAGGTGTCGTATGCAGGCAGTGAAGTACTGTTATCACCATATCCACCACCTTGCGCGACAGCTATGCTTGTAAAAGCCAGCAGAAGGGGCCAATGACTGCGCATCTTGAAGCGAAAGACTGCTACGCCGGCTGAACGAGTGGCACACGGCTTGGAGCTGTACGAGAAGGTTAGACACGTGATGTGATATGCTTGAAGTGACCAGAAAGCTATCTTCACTGAGGAAGTACCATACAGTGTCAAGCGCGGCACTAGGCAAGGTGCGGATTGAAGTAAGGGGAGGATCAGGAACGACTATGTAGGGTACCAATGGGGGCATCACATACCTTGCGACGAAAGATGGGCTGGAGGCTCGAAAGAGGGAAGGAAGCAAGCAGGAACGGATAACTATAAGACGATGACGAAGCTAGCTGCCGACCTGCATATGACGGTGGGAACAAATCCTTTGGCGAGGCTGGCAGCAGCCAAGCTTGGCCAGTAATCCTGTGTGCCAGGGTGTGTAAACATCAGGCCGGAAGCAGAACTACCAAGCCGAAGGCATAGATCTACCTGACCGCCTGCCGAATGACGAACGCCCGGGCTTGGTCGCAGCATTGAAGTATACTCAGATTGCCTAGACCTTCTTCAAGCAATACGACCGGCACAGCTCAACGGCGAAAGGCCGCCACAGAAGCCAGGGTCGCAGTGAGACCTGGGAGACTTCCAAGACGTGGTGTCGCATTCAATCCGCATGATGAGAAAGGCCGGACAGATGCAAGTGACGCGGGATATCATCCAACCCAGAGGCCTGAAGACAAGTTGAGAATCGCATCCATGGCGGTTGCTGACATGGTTACTTCTGAAGCCGCATAAAGTTAGCTCGCTACCTTGTACAGAGTAATGGCCTGCAGCCCATCATCACTAGCGATAGGTTTTGGCGCCAGACGGGATCCGATGAAGATGGCATTCTGGGGGCCGAAAGTGAGGAGCGAAGCTCGGAGCAGAAGGGCGCTCCTTGCACAGGTCCGCTGGTGCCGAGCGCCATACTCGCACTGGCTACACGACTCTAATTCCCGAATCCGTACGATCGTGTTTCTTCTAGGGTGGGTCGCGCAGGGTGACAACAAGAGTGATTGTGTGTTGCAACGTGTGAGAGGTGCATGCACGTGAGAACTGATGTGCGTGCTGTGCGGACAAGTGGGGCGGCGGCTCGAGCGATTGGGCCGTTGGCTCCCGCTGAGTAAGGCGATCGAGCGCGCCAGCCAGTGAAGCTCCACCTGTCCGCGGGCCGTCAAGGCTTCCCTCGAGGTTCGCCTTTCCAGCCACCTCAGCATGCAGCCTATCTGCGGCCCTGGTCAACAACGATTGCCATCCAGACTCTCGATTGAATGCTTCGCGATCCTTCTCCGCCCAGTTCTCTCCCAATGGGAAGGCTGGTGGCAACCACACAACCTGTGCCCTTTCACCGGTATTGCCACGTCCAGTCATATGCCGGCTCATCCACATGTAATATGCAACCTCAGGGTGCCCTGGCGATGCTGTGCCTCTACCCCGCCTGAGGCACGGGCGCAATACACCCACAACAAGCAGATGGGCTTGACGCCTAGAACAGCCAGACAAATTGATGTTTAACCGATCCAAGCAACGGCAATGAGGACCTTGCGACTGTCGTCTAAGGAGCGCTGATGCGCATCGCCCACGCAAGTCGCGGCTCGATGCCAGTCCGGCACCACCAGCTGACCTACGCTAAGTGGTTGCGGTAGCTGACAAGGTGTTGGTGTTTTTGATGGCTTGTGCCTCTTCTTATCTGTAGCCTCCTCTTATCAATCCATGACCCTTCACTTCGGCTGCGATACGCCGTGGTAAAGTTACGACGATGTTTTCCAAGAAGCGTGCCGAGCCGATTCAGCTGCCTTCGCCTTACGTGCTGAGTCCCAGTGGGCAGTACGAAGGAAATGATGGGAAGTGGTCTACGTTCTTCATCAATGTCGGCGACGACGCCAAGAACAACAGCAACGGCCAGAACTTCAGGGTACTCATATCCACTTCTTCGCCTGCTACCCTCGTACCGCAACAGACCGACTGGTGTTCTGATCCCACTCCTGAAGAGTGTGCAGCGAATCGTGGTATCTTGCCATACGAAGGCCGTCCGTCTCTAGGTTTCGATGACGAAAAATCTTCAACATGGCAGACTGCAGGAGTCTACACTATTCCGGTGCCCGAGTGGTACAACGACACATTACAAGCGGAAGAGCCGGCCGCAGTTTGGGGTGTGGATAATGTTGGCCTGGGTGAGAGTTCACCACAGGGCTTTATCCTGGCGGAGCAGTATGTCGTGAAGTACACTGTTGCAAACTTCTACATGGGCTCCCTTGGGCTCGCTGTTGGATCTACCGGACCCCCTGGCGCACTCAAACCAAACTTCATGGACAACATGTATGGAAGCGCCCACAGAATTGCGAGTCGGTCGTTCGGATATACTGCGGGGGCTTATTATCGTAAGTGCATAGTGTGGTGTGCATCATGAGTTACCACCCCAGCGAGAAGTGAAAGTAGCATATCTGAACGCTAATACAAACAGGTAATAACAACAACGGAGTTACAGGAAGCTTGGTGATCGGCGGTTACGATAAATCGCGACTTTCCGATCTAGGTGTCTCGATCAGTATGCCCAGCCGGCAGAACAACACGCTTGCTGTTGGCGTCATTTCCATTCTCTGGAAGCCAGACCAAGACGCCGAAGCCAACACAGCTTCTTTCACCAAGGGAGGATTCCCTGCTACCATCGATTCCACATTACCGTATCTTATCCTTCCGGACGAAGTCTGTGACCAATTCGTCACTACTTTCGGTCTGACCTTGGACGAGGATGTTCAGCTATATACTGTCAACGACTCATCGCACCAACAGAATCTACGACTAAACCCAACATTATCCTTCAAGATCAGCGCCAATACTGGTGGCGACAGCACAGACTTTACGGACATAACTCTCCCATACTCGGCGCTGGACCAGCAAGCCGGCTACCCACTCTTCTTCAATACGACCCGTTATCTTCCCATAAAGCGATCACTAAATGGGAGATTCGTGTTGGGCCGCACACTTCTACAGGAAGCGTACATCGTGGTCGACTACGAACACCAGAATTTCACGGTCGCTCCAGCCACATTTTCTGATCCAATGCCAGATCCGAGTCTAGTCACCATATTCGATAGGTCTTACACTGGCCTACCGGCACCGCCAGAGTCTGAGTCTGGAGGTGGGCTATCGGCAGGCGCAATCGCAGGAATTGTTGTCGCCATCGTTGGCGCTTTCATCATTGTCGCAATCGGTGCTTACCTTCTATGGAGGAAGAAGCGCCGGACGCCAAAGGAACCCGAAGAAAACACCGAAAAGCCGTCTGAGATTGACACAACTTTTGCTGGTACTGAGATCAAGTATCGTCGTGTCTCAGAGCTCACTGGCTCTGAAGCTCCTCATTCACCAAAAGACCCTGCGGCAGGTTACTACAGTGTTGATCATAAATCCTATCCACCTATCAGCGAAATGTCTCCGGAGAGTACCCCCGCCGAGCTTTACAGTCCTCCGCCGGATGGCCGCAACTCGCCCGACTACTTCGCCAATGGCAGGTATGCCGCGCCTCTCGCAGAGCTCCCTGGTGAAGATACGATCAGTTCAATGCCTGGTAAAACCTCAGACATGAAGCCAGTTCAGAAACCTCCGCACAGCCGAAGTCCGAGTGACAACTCACTATCGACCAATATCGACGAAGTACTAGCGAAGAAGGCGCCTGAAGCTGGGCCAGATACCGAAGCCATGAAATCAGCAGTGGAGCCTGGAGCGCCAGCTACTGCTGAAGAGATAAGTAGAGCAAAGGCAGACGCACAGCCCGAAGCGGCCGACGATGCGCAAGAGTCTGCGATGGAACGACGTCCGTCACACACCAGAGGATTGAGCGACACAACCATTCAAAGCGATAGTACAGCAGTCTCGCAGCCAACACCCGAAGAGCTAGAGCGCTGGGCGAGAAGTGTAGACGGCCAAAGTCGGCCCATGTCTCCATCATGAACGACAGAACCTTTTGACTTCGAATACTTCCGTGGCTATACACTTTCGGATATCTTCTTCCTTTAGACTTTTGATATGTATTGCGTCGCAAACATTTGCCTCTTGGCCAGTGCTTTGGGATTATTGCAACACGGAGATTACTGTGCTTGACTTTTCTTTGGGGATGTTCACGAGGAGACGATCAAGATACCCACTAGTACACTCTTTACTACTTTAATGTAATAGTACACTGCATCGCTATCTCAACGCATCGCACTACATCCATGGCACTGCCAGCTTTTGAAACACCTCCGACATCTCACAACAGCTTGCGTTCTCGTACAGTTCGCGTCATGCCTCATCGGTTCTCGCGCAGTACATTATCGCCGAAGCAGTACGGCGTCTGCAATGCGACTCCTCGCGTCGTGTGCTCCCCACACCAGTGGCTGTCTCTCAAGCGCGGATCCTCTAGCTTCCGACATCTAGAAGCAATGATCGCTTCTAATGATCCCCAATATGCGTATTTCCGCCAGCGCAACCCGTTCGTCCCCACCGGTCAGCCTGCAGCGGCAATACCGTATTGCCGCGTCACTCGGCGTGATTGACCGTCACTGCATGCGAAGACAGCTTGACTTGCGTGCGTGCGTGGTGGTTAGCATCGGAGCGGCACAGTCTAGCCAGCGTTTCCAACGAACCGCACTACTATTTAGTACAATACAGTGTACGTTGTACTTTAGGGCGTACGTAGAGAAGCAAGTACTAGCCTGTATTATAACTATACAGAGTAATAGTAAAGGAGTTATAGTATAACTAAGTATAGTATATAGCCTAGAGCTATTAGACTTAAGCTAAGAGTAGGCTAAGTAGGCTAGAGATTACGCGTAAGGCTAAAAAAAGTCTATACAAATAATTATCTAGTATTATAGTTATTACTACTATTACTTATAGCTAATATAAAAAGCAAAAAAAAATGTTTTAAGTTTATTTTAAATATAAAAAAAAACTTACAGCGCTCTAATCTAATTCTTATTAAAGCTATTTAACGCTAAGTAAGTCTAATTTAAGATAGCTTTACGCTTATAAGATTAGATTAACAGAGATAGTAGTCTCTATTTATAGTAATAAACGTAACTACTACGCTATAGAGAGTTTATAGAATAATAGAGTATAGCCTAAATTTTTAATATATATTTTAAAGTAGTAATAGTGTATATATTCTAAAATTATAAGACTATTATAAGGCTAATATCTAGCTTGCTATAGTATTATAGGTTAATTATAGTAGAATTTTATTAATTACTATAGTAATATATTATAACCTTAAGAGCTCTAAGAGCTTAGAACTTTAACTACCTCTATAAGTCTAGAGATAGCGCTATTATTTAAAGTTCTTACTCTTTTTAGCTATATCTTAATAGAGTTAATAAAGTTATTAGCCTAAAAAAGTATATAGAGATTGCAAGACGTTTAAGATAAGTAGTTAGAAAGTAGCTAAGTTTAGATAATAGTATAAAAAGTAGTAATAATAGCTATATCTTATTAGTATTCTTTATACAACACTATATCGCAATATAATATAATAAAGAGATTTACTAGCGCTGCTTTTTCTACTCTCTTAACTTCTATAGCCTATATAGTATACTATACTACTACTACTTACTATTTTCTTACGCTGCTAAAATCGCTAGCTCTATTACCTTAGATAATACTAATACTTTTAGGTATCTTCTTATAAGTTTCTAAAGCTTTAGAGGTAGAAAAAAAAACTAGAGATAGTAATAACTTTATTATAAACTTTAGTTACGTCTACTATAATAATAGATATCTTAAGCTATATAGACTTAGCTATACTATATTATATAAGAGCTAGCTTACTAGTAATTATAAGGCCTTTTTAATTTAGTAATATAGCGTTAGAATTAGCTATAATAGCCTAAGTAGAAAGAAGAAGTTCTTCTAGTTATATAAGTACTACTATCTTAGCTTCTCTAATAACGCTCTTAAAGTAGTTAATAGCTATAACTATATTAAGAAATATATAGCAAACAGGCACTATATTAATATTAATATAAGTCTATTACTAGAGACTAATAAGCTACTATACAGCTCTCTATTTGCTACTATAAAAGTTACTAGTATAAATAAGTTAGTATTATATACGCTATAGAAGAAGAAGAAGCTATAAGCTGTGCTTATTAACTAAGTAATACTATAGAATATTAGCTTTAATATTACAACTTTAATAGAGCTATAAGAGCTACTTACTTAGAATTATACTAGTCTTCTTAAGGCGCTGCTAATAGTAGTATTAATAATTACTAGCTACGTCTAATTAACTTACACACGTTAGATAAGTAAGATTAAAGCGCTATTATAGAAAGTAAGTAGCTAGATTAGTATAAGTATTAATATGTAGACGTTAAGTAATTATCTAAGTTTTCTTAGAGTAGTAGCGTATTTCTTAGATAAAATTCTTAGCACCTATAACTTATTATAATAACTAGCTAACTATTTAGACTCTTAATATAAGTAGCGTAATATCTTAATTATATTTTATAACCTCTATAGTAATTATACTAGCGCTACGTGTAAGAGGCTAACTCTAAGAGTAGGTACTAGAAAAGTAATAGATAAATTTAATAGCCTAGAAAGAAGAGCTTTCTAGGTAGCTATATACTTTAGAAGAGTTTTCTAAGCTTAGCTAAAACTAGACTAGGTTTCTAAAGTTCTTAGCTAAGAACTTTTCTAAGCGTAGTCTATTATAATAGCTTTCTTCTCTTCTAAGCGTTATATTACGCAGCTATAAAATTTATAGTTATATAATTTCTTAAGTATAAACGCTATAAAATCTTCTATCTAAGCGCTGCGTTTTAGCGCCTTAGCTAAAGAAAATTAAGTAAGCTATACTATAATAAAAATCTATCTATTATACTTATTTTCTATTTTTATTATATATAAAATTAGTAACTTTACTTATAATACTTTCTATATTTATTCTTACGTGTTACTATCTTTATTACTTTCTTTCTTACTTACTCTACCTCTACTATACCTTCTAGACTTAATACTACTATTATACTCTACTACTTATGTTATAGCGCTAGTAAGGTTAGTAAATTCTCTAGCGTATTAGTAAGTCTCTCTACTTTTTTACTTTTACTTATAAGCTTTACTAACCTATATAATAGCCTACTAAGTTAGTAAAGCGTCTACGTTATAACTTCTTTATTAATAAAATTATACTACTTAATACTAATAGTAATCTAAAGAATATTAGTAAGAAGCTAATAGTCTCTAAAGTCTATATTTACTATATTTATCTCTTTAAAGAAGAGAATAATAAGTATATAGTCTACGTCTTTAATAAGTCTAATAATAAGACTTATAACTAGTATAAGGCAAAGCAGCTCTAATATACTATAGTAAGTCTTTTCTTTCTTTACTTTTCTTAGATATAGCTAACTTCTTAAAATACTTTTTAAGCTTAAAAACGCTATCTACTAGTTTTATTAATTAGTATATAATAATTCTATACTTTTGTATTTTATAAGAGACCTAGTTTATAACCTTTTTTTACCTCTTCTTAATAAGTACCTAAAGAAGCTACCTAAGAGTTTAAAGTAGAGCTATATTAATAAGCTTTTTCTAGTCTTAACTAAAACTCTTTTTACTAAGCTTATCTCTATTATAAAGTCTATCTAAGCTTTATCTAAGAAGAATACGTAGCTTATAGAATCTTTAGTAAGTTTTTTTACTTTCTTTTTAGTATTTTTCTTACTAACTTATATATAGCTTCTTACCTTTAAGATCTCTACTAATATATTTAGTGTTTAGCTCTACGTAATTACTTTCTCTACTATTCTTAATACTAATTATCTCTATAATATTATCTACGCCTTTAAGTGCGTTATAATAATAACTCTAAGTAAGTATCTATATAAGAATTATAATCTAGAGAATAAGTACTATAATATCTCTATATTTACTAAGTTTTTAGAGTAGTAAAAGTTTTATACTACCTCTAAGAAGTCTTATACTCTTAAGAAGAAGTATAATAATACTAAGAAGAAGAAGGCTTAGACACGTTATAATAAGTAGTTAGATTTTAATAGTCTAAGTTAGAGCTTTAATAATTATAAGTCTAGTAATTAAGGTGTTATTAGCGTCTTTAGTTAGTTATTTAGGTTAGTATTTTATCTATTAGTTATCTTATTATAGGTTTATCTTTCTATAGAGTTTTATTCTATTATAATACTCTCTACTTTTAAGTAATAAATAATTTCCTATTTCTTTTTTATCTTTATTCTTCTACCTTTATAATATTACTTTCTCTCTTTAGTATACTATTCTTCTTACTAAGAGTATATACTCTATTACTTTATTAATAATAAATTTTTAGTTATACTACTTTTAGTAGTATAGTTTTTTAAAGTTTTCTTTTCTAAAGTTTATTAAAAGAGATCTATCTACTTTCTTAGTATGCGCTAAGAAGGTTTTCTAATTTATTAGAGTAACTATCTTACTTATAGCTGTAGCTAGTTTCTATAAGAGCTTATAGTACTTAGTCTATCTTATAAGGTATTCTAGCTTTATTTCTTATTCTACTTTTCTCTATCTTTTACTAATAATCTTATTAATATAGTATATAGTCTATAGCTTTTTATCTACTACTTCTATTAGAGCTTCTAGCTACAGATTATCTACTACTTATCTAAGTAGTAGGTTCTATAAGTTAAGTCTTAACTAGCTAATATAGAAAATAAAATATATTCTAGGTAGCGTATTAAGCTTTATATTAAATAGTAAGATTACTTCTATAACTTTATACTAGCTATTCTTCTAGTTTAGCTTTATACTAGAATATCTATTTATAAGGTTAAGCCTATATTAAAGCTATACTCTATCTTCTACTTATAGCCGCAGCGCTTCTTATCTATAGTAGTTAGTCTATCTCTTTTATTTCTACTATACTTTAGCTATTCTAGCCTAAACGTATTTAAATACTTTCTTAAACTTATTAG